TGGCTATACAGTCAATCCCAAAGGTTTATGCACTTTAGAAACGCATTTTTTAAAAAGATATCACACGTCGGAGGAATATTGCTAATAATAAACAACAAAAAAAAATTTTCGATTTTTCCGAGATTTTTCCAAGGGGTACCCCCTTCAGATTTTACGAAATTTTCGTTTTTGGCCAATACTTCCCAAACCGTTGGTCCTACGGGAAAATTGCATAGGACCTTTCTTGTAGAGGACGACGAGATCTACAATTTCTGTATAAAAGTTTTTCGCTAGCATTAATATTTAAAGAGTTATGGACGAAAAACGAAAAAAGAGTTTTTTGCAAATTACTCGTTAACTATTGACGCCAGCAAGAAACTTTTACATGGAAATTGTAGATCTCGTCGTCCTCTACAAGAAAGGTCCTATGCAATTTTCCCGTAGGACCAACGGTTTGGGAAGTATTGGCCAAAAACGAAAATTTCGTAAAATCTGAAGGGGGTACCCCTTGGAAAAATCTCGGAAAAATCGAAAATTTTTTTTTGTTGTTTATTATTAGCAATATTCCTCCGACGTGTGATATCTTTTTAAAAAATGCGTTTCTAAAGTGCATAAACCTTTGGGATTGACTGTATAGCCAATGCATCCTTAAAAGATTTTATTCAGACAATCTGGTGGGATCATTGTTCGCGGGGTCCAGTCGACGATCGATTCATCAAGTGTTTAACGTTCGTCCCGTATTTTCTCTTCGGTTTGCAATTTCAGAACGGTGATTACGCGCGTACAATACCGGAGCAACACAGGATATCTCGGGGAGAGATTAAAAACTATTGTAGAACGATAAATCAACAGCAAAGATCGAATGAGCATGACGAAAAAAGTGGGCTGTGCGAACGATGTAACAGGAACGAGAGCTTGAAGCTGTCGAAACTGTCCAATTATATACCCAGAGACGAAAGGAATTATGAGTACGAGATAAAACGGTTCAAAGACAGCTTAGAAGAGATCTATCCGTTATGTGTGAGATGTAAGGCCACGGTGAAAGGCGTGTTGTGCAGGCAAGCATTATGGCTCGCACAATACAAAATGTTGTTCTTTAAACAAAAACCATTTTCTGCGATGATCGCTGACAGAGTGAGTGGACAGAGTAGTCACTATAAATGAAATTATATATGCTACTAACTAGTAAAACTAGTAAAAAATTGCACCGAATCATCATTGTTTGTAGGAGAAGAGATATTCTGAGCCAGTGTGCAGAATAGTTTCAACGATACTGGGTTCTATGGCAGCGTACGATATGGAGCTCGTATTGTTACCATTTGGAGGACTGCTCTTCCAATTTTATGCTTGCTGGATAACTTCCAAGAGTCAACGAAACTCTGACCGGTTACTTCTGTGTCTATGGTTATGCATGATCGTACTGCTACCCTTTAAAGATAAGACGATATTAAAAGAAGCAGAGCTGCTGGCCGATGATTCGTGGTTTCCCTTTGAGTACGTCACGCATTATCATATGGTAATATTTTAACACGCAATCTTTCTATCGATAATAGTAATAATAATAATTATAACGACCACCACCACGCCGATGATCATTCACTTTGAATTATTCTGATTCCGGCAGGTAACGTTGATCGTCACGATCATAGGCTTCATCAATATCATGCCCAAGTCTCGTAAGACCGAATTTAAGAATATGTCATTTAAGAAAATCGAATCTCCTACGAAAAACGTAATAATGCCGTTTAATTACACGGAGTCTACGAACAATGATGAAAATTTTAGCGATAAGCCGAGCAATCGTTTAAACCAACCAATTACTAACCAATTGGCGTCGAACGCCACGAAGAAATACGGGTATCAACCTTGTTCAACAAATTCTATATCGACAACTTTTCAAAGTCCATGGTAAGTATTTACATTTTTCGCCTATTTGGTGCTTGTTCGGCGATCGGAGAGTTGAACGTCTTAATTCATTCTTCTCATCTTTACGTTACACAGTACGACTCGACCTCGGAACCTGTCGTTGTCTTTAACGACCGAAAGTAACAACGGCAGGTCCGAAGATAAAAACACTGCGACAGTCGCAGCAGACAACGGTACTTACTCGTTGTTGTTGAACGATAGTTTGAGCACGCTGGGTGAATTAACGCTGAGCAGCGAAGAGAGACCGAGACGCGTCGTTAAAACGCCTAAGATCTTTGAAACGAGGGTATACGATACGAACGTTTCCGACCTGTTCAAAAAGTCTGTCGTCAAGTCGAGACACGTTCTATCGCCACCGAAATTGAAATCTGTGACGCAAACGTCGTGGGTAGCCGGTGGTTACTGGCAGGAGGGCATAGACCCGCCATTGTCATTGTCCAGATCGTCCAGTCAAAGTTCTGGCTTCGGTTCCGTCGTCTCCAATTTCGGTACGTCCAAAGAACCTTCCATACACGAGTTCGATCGATGTTCGATCATGTCGGATGCAACGCAATCCTATCGCACCGTGAGGCAGGCCAACAGTCCTGTCGTCGGATCGTCTTATCAACAGAGTTTGCACGGTCCACGGTTCCCTGAGACGATCAACAATCATCAGTTCAATTACCAGACGATGAAACGCGCATCGGCCAATCTGTCCGTTTCGCAAACTTGGAATAATTCGCCTTTCCCGATCGATCAGTGTCCATGTCCGGGACAGAACGGCGTTAACGGAAGTAATACTAAAGATCACCCCTCTGAAATCAAGTTTCCTAGTCACCACGCTACCATTGTAGCGGGTCCGGTTTGGTTACCAGCACTATTGTGCGGTTCGCTCGTAATAAACATAATAGTTTTATGTACCACTTTATCACGATAAGACGTGCGATAAGGCGTCGGCGGCGTCTGTTGTTTTTCCTACGTTCGTAGTTTTTTACGTCTCAGTCGTCGATACAACGAAATAAGTTGATTATTAGTTTTTTAAAAACAGTTAATTTTAACTTTATTGTGGATGAGCGTCGGTGATGGTGAAAGGGAATCCGTTTATAAGTAAGTGTTACACTGCCAGTATAGTCGTCGGTCGTTGAAGTTGCGATCATTGTTCATTTCTCACTTCTCAGCAATTGTAAATAGATATTCATTGTTTTAATGCCCGTTGTTAAGATCGACTGTCAACAGCAGCAGGCGAAAACGAGACTACTGTTGTGTGTACCGTGGAAAATGATAAATTCATCTGACATTCTGAAGAATCGTCGTGTCTCCATCTGTGTTCATTAGTAATAATGTACATACATGCGTGATCCACCAAGTTCAACGGTTTAGTAAGCTGCCCGGTCAAGGTTCAAACTGAAACCGAGTATTCGTTTCGTACAACAAATTTCTACGCGTCTAAACGCGACGACGGGATTCGCCATGTGTTCTGACATGTTTTATAAGTCCGTCTATTGTATATTATGCTGTATCGTGTTATACCATGTGATGTTAAAATCTAATCTAACGAAATAAATATAATAATGTAATATTTTTAATTCTGACGTTACGTTCTTACGCCGGCTGTCACTCCCAAATGACAATAACAACACATTGTGTACCTCGGCATCCTTTTCTATCGCTACGCGCGTTGTTCGACGTTGAATCATTTTTTAAACGGCAGCGAACGCCGATTTACGTTTCAAATGCCTGAGATCCGGTTCGTTAAAATCCACCTTTCGTCTACGGAATCTTGAATGCAATTTCGTTATAATTACAATTATCTTAAACGACTCACTGAGTGGTGTATTCGACGTTTGCCGGCCTTAGCAATCCAATTTCTTCCCTGTACGTAGACCACCATCGACATTTGGCTATTCCTTCCAACGAATTCTTTTCTAGCTCCTCCCGCATCGCTTCTCTCAATCCAGACTGCGTCAACGTGCCGAAACTTTTCAATAAATCCTGTTCGGGCAGCCATTTTCTCAGTCTTGGTGAATGAATGAAAAACACAGAAAACGGGGAGAAATTCCGGACTTTGGGAGGAGTGACCAGCGAAACGACGTGTGTCTACCTTGCGTTGTAAGACCGAGGTTTGGGTCCCTTCAGACCTTTCGGTAGAACGTTGTAACACAAATCGTTGGTCGTCGTCATGTTGTCATAATATTCGGTTTTATGATCGAAAATCTCGTCTCGTGGCAAACCCTTCCGATCGAAACGTATTCGAAATCGTTAGCAGCAGTAGATTCGACCGGTCACTTGTCTAAAATCTACCTCGACGACCAGTTTGTTCTCCCATTTTCCGGCTTGATCCGTTTCCCAAGTTTCGTTAACGCGAGGCACGTAATCTATTTCGTACAAACTCCTCCAATCGTCCGATCGTGGCGTAGAAGTTGCTCTACGCTCGATCCAATTGCCCACTAACGTCTTCACCGAATATCTGTTCTCGCTCGACACCGGTCCACGATCCAATTTTTCCTTCGGGGGAAACAATTCATGCGCCACGCACTTCGGTTCAACGTCCCAGTCCATAGCAGTGATGGCGTACATCTTAAAATGTTTAAATAAATACGAATACATTGTACACGTAATATGAATGACTTTATTATTGGTAAGTAAATACGTTCGCCAAGAATTATTATTCAATTGGTATTCTCCTGAAAGATTCATGCGAGCGCTACTTTCATACGATTACCATCAATCGTTGTTAACACTACTACCACTACTACTACTACTATTACTAGTACTAATAACAATAATAGTAATAATAATGATAATGACCACGACGATGATAATAATAACAACAACAATAATAATAATAATAAGAATAATAATAGTAGTAGTAGTAGTAGTAGTAGTAGTAGTAGTAGTAGTAGTAGTAGTAATAGTAGCAGTAATAGTAGTAGTAGCAGTAGTAGCGATAGTGATGATGTGACGACGATAATTATATCGGAATACTTAAAATTAATATATTATAAATCAGTTTAATCAGAATTTACGTGTATCACAATCTACAAGATAGTACCTCGAGAAGCTGACAGGCTATCCGTATGAGGAGGAAGGTTCCGGATACAAATCTACCTTCTAATGCTACAAATATATCCACGTGGAGTTTCTACTTCTCGTTTCATCTTCTGGATCGAATGAGGTAGACGCCTGAATTTAATCGAGTGTACACGGACGCATGCAATGAAAAAAACAATTTATTATTCGCATTGCATGTTTATGTTACGGTAAACCTACTTGGATGCTTCGACGACGACGTAGGTAGGTCTCGCACACTCGCTCGCTCGCTCGCTCGCTCGCTATCCGCCACTATCGAGCATCGGCGTGGATTTCGATTTAGAAACGGCTGCAAATTTTCGTAGCACGGTGCGGAGAGCTTGATCAATTAAATGAGCGCGCGCGCGAACAGAACATAGAATTTCTCTAGCAAAGCCGATCGTAGCAAAACGCATAAATATTTAAATATAACTAGAACGAGTCTGATCCGCTTCTCCTGTTTACAGCATGTTCCGTCCGGCATACGTGTATATCCGATGAAACAATGAAACGAGTCATCTACATTCTTCAACTTGTTTATTTCCTTCCTTCACACTCGCATACTTCGTACAGTTTACAAAAAAATTCGACAGCGGCCTTAGATCCATCTCCACCTCCTTCTCGCGTTAACGGTAATCCTCGATTTTTCCCGTGCGAATATCCTACGAGTTAACTACATACTCTGCTTCTTTCGTTATATGTGTGTATATATATATATTTATATATATATATATATTTCATTTTTTCTTCATTCATTTCGATACGTCCGGTGTGTATTACGAAAATAATCATAACTCTGGTGTTATTTCTGTTCATTTCTCCGCGTGCATGCACGTCGGAGAATCTGCATACACGCTCGATTAAAATCTTTCGACGAGCATTCGAATTTTATTTTCGAATTTTATTTTCGAATTTTATTTTTTATACAATCTGAAAAGGCTGCTGAATCCTCGATTTAAACAAGAAGAAAGAAAGCGACAAGTGTGTGATCTCTTTGTTCACGGTAAAAGATTGACAATGTGATTTACGAGGTAAGTGGTCGATGCCCGAAACTCACGGTGAGAGAGGGTTCTCCTGTGAGTTGAAATTTCATTTCACGATCACGATTGAAAATTCACCGAATACACCGACGATACCTTCTGGTTGTACGTTAAAACGAAAGATACATTATCTCGAGTGTATGTTTGTCGTTTTCTTGCGTTAAATACATAGCATATGCAATCAGCCTTTCGCGAGTAGGATCACGATCGATTTGCAACGATCGTTCTCTTTGAATCTGCCAAATAATTGTAACCGAGTACGATTATATATTTACATACATTTGATACGAATATTTCAATAATAATTGCACTCGTTATGCACCACGCACTTGTCTTTGCACATTATCAAACACAGAGTGATTCATCCTCGATACTCGAGATACGACATCACCAAAGTTAAGATGACAAAAATTATGTCGAATGAAAACATGATTTCTCTTGTCGTTGTCGGACAACGACAATTCGATAAACGGAAATGTCGATTTCTTTTCTTTTTTTCACACGCAGCCCCTACTATAAAGTAACCGCGCGTAACAAGATTCCAGCGAGCGCACATACATCGGACCAACAGGTATATTGTTGCGCGCGATTCACAAAAATCTCATCTTAATTACATTAATATGTTCATACGAATTCTCCTGCTTTCTGGACAAAATATAGGACCGAGTAAGTGTGGCGGCGGCGGCGGCTCGACGTTATTTGCGAGAGGATCCTCAACGAACTAGTGAGGGGGAAAAAAAAGTACGTAAAAATCAGACGTTTGTGAACGATCGGTCGGCCTCACAGTTCGTGAGAGCGTGAAACGCGAAATGCTTGTGTACACGCGTTACATGGAACGAGTATTACACGGACAGGGGGAGAGAGAAAATATGCGTGAACGATGCTCTCACAAGTGCGGTCTGCAACAGGTTTTAGGAACTTAAGCGGACCTGTGTATGTGTGCAACAACGATTTTCGACAGAGCTCACGATTCGGTCGATACGATCAGCAACAGCAGCAAGCTACGGTAATACGTCTAGGTAACTTTCGAGAGCGTCGAAAGGCTCGACACGAGCAAGAAACATAAGCTCACATATTTATACGACACGAAAGAATTTCGCTTAACGCGACTGAATTTCATCGGTCCGTACGAACGTATTTGAACGTATTAGTATAAAAGCCTCTGATACGAAAATGAAGAACAAGCGATAATAAGTTAATTTAAATTAGATGATTGTGGGAATCGTGTGCGTGACACGGTATCCCACCGCGGTGGTCCGTGTTCCACCTTGAACGCATGGTGCCCGAAACACCGTTATAAAGATCGATGCAACGAAAGCTGGAGCGTACAATTGACGACGATGAAAATGACAGAGGACGATGAAACGTCGTATTGGATCTCGGTAATGTTCGGAGCAGCCGGCAAACTTAACTTTCCCAGTTAAGCGGACCCTCCGAACGATCCAAAGAGTAGAAGAAATCAATCATCACGATTCTGTTTCAACGGCGATGGAGAGAAATCTTACAATTACAAATAGTTAATAAGCCACGATCGTCCCTACAATTTCGATCAATGCCGCATGTCCAATCATCGTGTTTCGCAGTAGCGACCAAAAATCTCTCTTTCTCTCTCTCTCTCTCTCTCTCTCACTCACTCTCACTCTCACGTTCTCTTAAATTATCTGATTTAAAGCGAATAATTTGCGGAATCGGAATAGGAATCGGCGTCCCATTCCATATATAATAAATTGAATTCACTTGTTTGCCGTTTGATCAAGTACAAAGATAAGACGACGACGAAAACGGGAACTTTTGACGATCGGAAACAAATACAGAGACAAGTTCGACTCGTGTTCGACGAGAGGCCTTCGATCGATTATTTGATAGACATTCACCGTTACTTGTATCGTGCAAGATATTAAGTTAAATAACTTATAAAAATTAACTATTTACAAATCGATGGGACATGCAGCGCTACATACGTTGTATAACTTAACGCGTTTAGTGTTGAATTTGAATATACCTAAGTACATGCTCGTTGCTTCGAGACAAATGAAAAGAACTGGCGGTGCTTCTTGCGGATATATTACGTCTATTACCCTTACTAAATAATTGTAACATTTACGGATATCCACTACAAATTAGAGTATCGGCGACTCTATTGTTTTCATTGATGAAAGCATTCTTGCGTTCGTTTTCTGTAAAAGTGAAGGATTTGGCATTATGCTCACGATCACTGTACGTTGTTACCCAAATCTGAATAAAACATGGAAAAAAATAAACAAATATGAAAACTGCATGAACAAAAGGTTAACTAAAAATCTATTTTTCGTATCGCGGCTAGCATTCACCAGACACGTGGACGAAAGGAAAATTGAAAACATTGGCAACCAACGAGATCGTTCGCGTTCGCGTTCAACTGCTACGTTACTGTTCAGCAGAATCACATCTACCTAGTCTCGTCGCGATTAAATCAGTTTTCGTTTACGTAGAATCGAACGATCTCGTGGTCGCGAAACGAAACATGTTCGTAGAAAGAGAAATAATACGCGCATATAAAGGACGGCTCGTTTAATTGAACTCGGTACGATTACTCACCGCGGTTTCCCGTTCTGATAGCAACGTTCGTTAAATGGTGCTGGCCAGCTCTGATCGGCTTAGCGATTTGCGCGCTGGGCCCACGGCGAGCCAAGCTCTTCTGTCTGACAGCTTCCTTGATTCTGTCCACCTCGTACTGATAACGTTTACGATCTCGCATCGCGCCTTCCTTCGCGTCCCGCAATGCCGTCTCAAGAGCTTTCACGCGCTCCATCGTGGTCCGTAATCTCTTTTCAAGTTTCGGTAATTCGCATCGAAGATCAGCGTTATCCCTGACAAGCTGCTTATGAACCTGTTACAGCCAGTCACGATTAACATCGTACAGACAAATACGATCGTTGACGAAGTACCTATCGATCGGTAAGGTCGCCGGTCGCTTACTTTTGTCAGTTGATCCAAGTTATTCTCGAGGAAGGAAATCTTTTGTTTCTGCGTGAGCGACCCACCATCGTCTTCGTTATCGTCCGACGTCATAGTCTTCTTTATTCTAGTATGAAGATCTTGAACGAACAATTTCCGTAGATTGTGCAACGTTTGAAGTTCTTTGGCTACCGTTTCCTCCAGACCCTTCAGATCCTTTCGAGCCTGGCGCGGAGAGGTGAAGGTAAACGACGGTATACACATAAATCTATGTAGTACGTACCTGTTCACGGCGTTCATTGAGTAGCAGCAATTCCTGCAGTTTGATAGACTTGTTCGCTTCTTCTTGTTTCAATCGTTCGTAGTCGGCCTGCATCTGCTGATGAGCCAACGTGAACTTCTGGTTCAAATCTTTCAGTTCACTGATCAACTCTTGTTTCTCGGACAGCTCGTCTCTGAGAGCGGCGACCTGCAACAACGATCGATTTACGAGAGGAGTACTGCCCGATATACCAATTCGATACACGCGGTAAAACGCGACAGCTGAAAAACAATTATTCTTACCTGTTTCTGATGAGCGTCCCGCAACTGATCCATTTGCTCTTCTAACGCGACTCGCATCTTCGTTGCTGCTTCTTTCTCCTGTGCCTTCTCTTTATTTGTTACAGCTTGCACCTGTTCCGCGGCCTTCAGTTTGGCGCACTCCTCGCGTAAAGCGTCGACTTCCTCTTCCAAGGCACGTTTACGTGCCTCTGCTACTTTCATAGACTCCGTCAACGTCTGCATACGAGCTTCGTGTTGAGAAATTAATAGCCGACAATCGGCCAGATCCTTTTCGTACTCGGCGACCTAAAGTGGAATGAAACGAAACGAAACGAAACGAAACGAAACGAAACGAAACGAGATGAAATAATAGTATTCACACTGACGAGCTGCCACTGCGTGTAAAATTTAGTGAAAAGAAGAATGCTGAAAACTACTAAGAATTCGGCGAGAGTACGCGCGACACAAATTAACACTTACTTTCTTGTTATAGTCTACTTGGAAACTTTCTAATCCTTGACAACGTTGCACCAGATTCTTCACCTCCGATTTCATTTTGCTAATGAACAGCCTAGCTACCGTGAACTCCTCTTCCAGTTTACCATTGCTCTCCGGAGGTGAAACCTGTCCACAAAATTATACCGTTCTCGTTACGGTTAAGTTAATTAACATAAACGTGAACAAATCAATACGCAGACTTGTTCGCGTTCACAGACCTTCAGATTTTCATCGCCACCGATCGCAACTCCGATTTCGCCCAGATCTTTTAAGAAGTTGGCCAACATTTCCGCGATTCGTTTCTTCTGATGAGCCGACATGTCCTTCAACTGTTGCAATTCCGAAGCGGTCGTATTCAGCGTCGTTTGCTTTGCCAAAAGTTCCTCCGTCAACGTTTCCACCTCCTTCTTCTTCATGTCGTACTATTCAAAAACAAGACGCAATGTCACGCTTGTCCACCTGTCAACAAATCGTATCGTTCGCCACCGTACCTCTTGACATTTCTGATCGTAATTCACTGCCAATTCTTCCAATGCTTGCAAAACTTCCTTCACTTCCTCCTTCGCGCGTTCGTGTTCTTGCTGCGTCCTGTTCACTTCTTGTTGCAATTTCTCGTACTCGCGCCTCGCGGTCGCGATCAATTCCGCTTGTTCGTGTATCTGTTCCTTCAAATTCTCGACGTACTGCGATTGTTGATTGATCTCTTCGTCTTTGTCGTCCAGTTGTTGGTAAAGCCTCTCACGTTCCTCCTCCAGTTTTTGCCTCTCCTCGTTCGACAAAGAACCAGCCATCAAGCTTCCGGCCGGTGTGGCCGGCATCGGCCCGTCATCGAGTTTGCCTGCAGACGAAAAGGAATTGATTCTCGAGCTTTCTACAACGGTCTCGCGATCTCTCGTGTCGTTCGCGCGAATCGCGAGTCCTCCGCAATACTCCGGATCCACCACCGAATTACCTTCAATGGACACGTTGATAGGCGTCGTAACGTCTGGTCCATCCACCAGATTTACTTGCTCTTCCGGCTTGACGGTCTCGCCCTGTCGCCAACGCGACAATTCAGCCTCCAATTTCTCCACTTTTCCTTTCAATCTGGCCGCCTTCTCTTTCTCCCTCTCGTAGCGGCGTTTCCATTCTTCGGCGGTCAATTCCTCGTTGACGCATACGACGTTCTTAATGGTCTTAGCACGCTTACCTGAAAGAAAGAAACGACGATGCTCGACGATCGATGCCCCGGGATACACCGGCAAAATTATTCATATGATCAATTGTACATTACCGAAATCTAAAGTGGATTTCGTTTCCGACTCGTTGAAACTGGCCGGTGAACAGCAAATGATGATCGTAGTTCTCGCATTGCCGCCCAGAGATTCTTGTAAGATTCTGGTCAACTTGGAATCACGATAAGGAATGTGAGTCTTGTTTCCGTCGGCCAAAGCCGAGATCACGTTGCCGAGCGCCGACAGTGATTTGTTAATATTTTTTGCTTCGTCGAGCACGGTGCCTTCTGCTCCAGTTTTAGAGACCTGTCGTGCGACGTGAACGTACGAACGGTTAAAAAGTAGCGGCGCACGAATCGCCGATCGATCGTATTGACTTACCTTTTCTGAGCCAGCTAAATCGACGAGATACAGCTTCCCGGAAAGTTTCTTTTGGTTTTCTAAATTCTCTTGCTTCACGTTTATCAAGAATACGGAATGAGAACGCGAGCTGTGCTCGTTCATGTTGGTCACGGCGATGTGCCTGTTCGACTTGCCTTCCTCTATCACTTCGAACACTTCCTCGGGACTGGATACGAACCGTTCGGTCGCACCCTTCACGAACGGTACCCGATTCTTATCTTCGTGTACACTTAAATTCACCTTTGACACTGAAATTAACAGAAAGAATTAGTTGAAAATCCTTGGACTTACCGGCATCGGCCGGCGGTGCATCGGCGAGCCGTTTCTTCTCACCATCGAGGAGATCCCTGATCTTATCCATGTAGATCTCAAAGTATGATACCTTGATGTGAAACTCCAAATTCTCTTCCATACCATAGATATGATTGAAAATGTCATTAACGATTCGGGGTATGATACCCTGCTTGTTTGAATCTCCGATGACACCTTCCATGGTGTGCGTCTTTCCTATCGACCGACATTAAACAAATTTAGCAAACGTCACGTTCTACAAAATCGTGCATCCTCTGTGCATGTCCACGTGCCCTCTGATTCCTGAATTTACCTGAAGATGTTTGACCATATGCGAAAATAGTGCCATTGTACCCTGCCAATACGTCTGTGACGATCGATCTGGCTGCTTCATTGTACACTTTGTCTTGAGTAGCATTCGGTTTAAACACTTTGTCGAAAAGATATACTTTTCCCTAAAATAATATATTACGAGGCTGTTCATTTCCAGGCCCTTGCGAGACGTACCACGAACAATACACGGGAACTGCAATGGGGAAGGGACGACTGCAGCACTCGATAAACCTTTGTTCCGCGAGCCTCTCGAGGAGCAGTATATTTGGCGAACACCGCCGCCGCCGCCGCCGCCGTCGCCGCCTTACACAAAACTGGTGATCTAACTCTACATTGAACACGGTGTATTTATTACATACGTATGTAGTACATGTACTCCAAGTTAACGACACGCTGTGAACGATGACAATCTCTACGCTTTATCAGGCATCGATAACGATAACGATCGAACGAGTTTAACGTGGACAAAACGTTAACGTATGAATCGACGTCTACGATCAGCGAGTCAAAATTACACGACCGGAGACGAAGATCAAGATCACTTGATTTAAATCGCAGCACGTCGCAATCCGCGGGCGTCTTCGGACGATCGACGGGCGAAACAACGCGGCGAGACCGACGACGCGTCCGGCGTGAATTTCGACGAAAGAGAATCGGAGACGACGGTGTTCGGTTTCGAAAGATTCGACGCTCGATCGATGATCTCGACGTCGTCGAGAGTAGGCGTCAGCACGCACGAACGGAGAGGACGGAGAGGACGGAGAGGACGGAGAGGAGTGTTCCGTGAAGAGCAGCTGTCAGCTGTGCACGATGACATCACACGTATGTATGCTGATGTAGGCTGAACGCTGAACACGGTCGACGCGACGAACCGACCAGACGCAAGATTGAGAACGTAGATGAGAAAAGAGAGAGAGGCACTTACCCCGATCGAGATGCAATTATCCTCGCCGCCGGAGGGGAATTTCACGATGAACTTGGAACCAGCCTTTTCCTCGGAGTCGTTCAAAGGTCGAAACCTGCAGACTACCTTGATACTGTCCTCCGCGGCGATCTCGCGCTCCCTCGGCGTCTCCATTGCCATAATTTGTTAGACCCCGGATCCGTCACACGAGTTCCCTCAGTTCCGTACTTTTAAAAGCCACACTTGAGAACGTTTTCCGAGCGAGATGGTCGCGTGTACCGCATCAAGAACCACACTACTGTCAGTCACACCACACGACGAACGAACCACAGCCCGTCTCGGAGCGGAGTAAAGATGGCTGCCGCTGCCGCTGTTCGACGACGATTTTGCGGGTGGTCCGACGATTTGCGTGCGCGAACCGCGCGTGAGAACCGACCTGGCGATTACCGTGCCTGTAGTGCCCTTTTACCGAGCTGCCGGAGACAAGGAACATGGACGACGACGCGCGCCGATTTTGTTGCTCTACCGACGATGCATCCCTATTTTGCCTATACACCTAGCTAAGGCCGGAACACTTGGTCTTGTTCAAATTATTACTCACGGCGGCACTCTAAAAACTAAATCGATGATAACTCTATATAGACAAAGTCTAACGCAAACGCGTCGAACCGAACGTGCGTGTGCGCGCGCGCGCGCCACCGACCGCCCACCCGTTCCTTGTTCCTCCTGTTCGTTCGGTTTGTTCGGTTTCCCGTATACTTACCTGCTTCTTGCTGCACGTAGTTACTTACACTGGTGCCCGGTGCCTACGCGTGCCACTTTTCCGTTATATCTTATTCCTTGCAGTATGTATGCACGTATCTAATGTATATACGTACCACGATCCGATTCCAAATTACGAGATATAAGGTAAACGTACAAGTTTGTAATCGATATTTTCATAAAAATGCTACGATTAAATTCGATGTTCCGTAACAATAATCTGCTCTTCATCGGCACGCGTTTCATCATAAGTAAAATACACTTACCGTACGTGTGTATATATATGTATGTATGTATGTATAAAAACGCATACGAGAAAGAAACAACGATGTTCAATGTAACATAACAAAAGAGGCACATTTTATTTTCTTTAACAATAAAGTAAAGAATGCTTTCACACGATCACGGTTCCTTGTAAATGTGTGTGCGTGTGTGTGTGTGTATGTGTGTGTCATCTAATTGCAAGATCGAAGATCACACCTGCCTATGTCATCTTGTTGTACATACATTATTATACTCCAAGTAATCTACCGTATATTTACTATGTATTCTATGTGACTAGTTTACGGATAATAGAAAGTGCAAGTCGATTTCAACGATCATCACATGATATTAGTACATACTTCCGTTCGATGTCGAATGAATAACATCATTGCTATTAGTTACTACTAATGCTAACGTTGGTATCGTTATTTATATCGACATCGCCGCCGCCACCGGTCATCGTCATTTGTTATTAACGCGTGAACTCGAACGATCTCAGATAGACGAAAAGCACGAAGTAGGATTAGGTCTGTTCTCGTCGTTCCCATAGCCGTTCCCAATGTTCCCATGCGTATTTGCGCATCAGTGTGTATACTTTAAGGGCCGGGGATTTAAGAGGATCAGGAGGAAGAGAATGAAAAATGAATGAGAGAAAATATTTTTCTGTAAAAGCCACCTAAGCGATATTTGAAGTTCAAGAGGTAGAGGTTGAATCTTGAAGCATGGGAGGGAGTGTATATGTGTGTGTGTGTGTCTATGTATGTATGTATGTATGTATGTACATATCCACTAACCACCAATCCTTCGAGTAACAAACGCGCGCGCGCGCGTGTGTGTGTGTGTGTATATATATAGTAATAATTCTTGGCTAGTGCTTCTTTTGAAGTTAGTCTCAACGTAACAAAATTGCGAACCATGTTTTACGCATCGACTCGACCACTCGGTAAGCTGTTCAAACGCGGAACCGGAACCTAAAGCTGACAACGATTAATCATTATCCCCGTTGTTCTTATCGATTTCGCATTGTTTGTCGATCTTTCTCGACGATCACGCCGACGAACCGATCGGAAGGACGTTTATAATAGTCTGCGGCATCTCCCGAGATCGTGCACGACGCATCGTGTATCGCATCTAAATATGCAGTAAAAATTTGTTATTTTCTAAACATCTGGTTCTGGTTCGCGCAGCTAATGTAAATTAATCATGACGACTCTAAAAAGAATTGGAATGCGTGGAATAGTTGGAAATATTCGGAAAAAATAGCAACGATATTCAACGTTCGAATGGACTAGAAATCATTATCGTATCTACTAACTAATTAACTAACTAACTACGGAATAAATTAATAAATTAGCAATGTAACTATGGTACATGTCCTTCTGTGAAAACGCAACAGTCAGCTACTTCAGCATCGTTTTCGTCGAACGATTTGTTCCAAGAGTATTTTTACGAGACATTATTATACGTAAGTATGTCGTATCAGAATCGTGTCGAGAAAATACGTTCAAAATATGCGCGCGAAACGGTCTCTCTCTGTCTCTCTCTCTTTCTCTCTCTTAAATATTTACATTTTGATACAGTTTTGATTCTGCCGCTGGCATCTAAAGAATGGAATCGCGGATCACTCGAGATTCGAGAACGATAGGTAGAATTACCATTACCAATGACGGGTCTTTGGATCTGTTAATACTTGTGGTTCGAACGAAACTTGGTGCACAGCAGATGGTCGTTCGGGTCGTCTGCGCGACTTACTCTATCCCGAAGGTGTTCGTTTCTTCCACTGCCAACAACAGCTTTTCGTATAAAATTTCAGGCGTAGGATACGGTGGAAGATCCAAACGATTGAAGCACGTATGAGCCCTGGAAATATGTACGGATGCAGTGAGAAACGGAGAAGCGATCAACGGGGATCGAGTAAAATCGTCGTATCGACGAGCGTGTGAAACCAACATGTTTACCTGGGCAAACTGTTGGGTCTTCCCCATTTTTCAATGCAAAACTTTCGCGGCCCTGTGGATCCGCGTAAAGCCGCGAATCCTTCGTACGGAATGCTCGACGTACCAGTGACGAATTGTAGTAATCTCAGCCGTTGTTCATTGGTAAATCGACTGATGCTGCTCCAAAACCACTCCACGACCGGATGAGCGTCGTGATAACCGCTTCTGTATTCGGTGTGAGCCCTCCAGTCGTTCAGATCGATCTCTGCTGCCCCGGCTATCACCAGTTCCAATTCACGTGCATCGAACACCGATACCAATCGCGGATCCACGACCTCGTAGAATCCGCGCACCAACGACTCCGTTTGTTCGGCGATTCCTCGTTCGAGTCTCCAACGTACGACGCGTTCGAGATATTCCTTTTTATTCTTCTCGGTAACGGCGATGTTTCTGCCGCCCGGTTTTAGTTCCCGTTCGGCCACTCGTCCCAACAGCTCCTCCGTCACGGAGAAGGTCAACTCTAACGGCTCGATGCTTATGTCCCTCTCTTTGATCCACATCAGACTCTGATGAAACTCTTGATCCAAACTTTCCAAATCGCTGAGGCTCGCCGGTATTCGGAGGAGAGCTTTGTAAAACGGCCTCGTGAAAAAGGCATCGAGAAGATATTGATGTACCAAAGCCAATCCCAACACTCTACCGGAGAATCTGAACCAGTCGTGGTAATTATCCACGAAAGCCGACATCGGCGACACTTGTACGGTGTACGTGTCGTTAGCGGAATACTCGAACAACCCGTAGTAAGGGTTGAAAAGTTCGCGCGACAGATGAAAAAAAAATTCACGCGACGGTCCACCGTAATCCACGCCTTCCTCCTCGTCGAACATGATCACTAATTTGCTCTTTTGTAAATCCTTCTTCGAAGCTGCCATGATA